GTGACGATTTGTTTCTAAAATATCAGTTTGAAGTGCGCTCCGGGCGCGGGTCGCATATTTCCCGCATATTATAGAGGGCCGGAGTTCTGACGTTAATCGACGACAGACCGATATGAAAAAAGTTGATAAAACGTCAGAATAATTCGGACTATCACGACTCAGCAGCCGGTGAGTACACACGGTTTTAAGATCTCGGAACCGCTTACCAGGTTCGAGCGTGATTCACTTCCTATTTTTTCTTAGGTATATAGCCTATTGTCATTTAATCTATCTATAAAACTATTTTTAGAAGGGATTTCCCTGTAATCGCTTATAGTAAAGTGACGTCAAAGTCGTATAAAATGTAGGTCAATGTTTACATTAGAAACCGTAACGAACTTCAGTCAGATATAGAACTGTTCATTTGGCGTTTGTTCACTGTCACTGAGTGGGTTCAAAGTAGTGTCCAGTTTAGAGTAGCCTTGCTTACCAGAGGCTGAAGAGACCCCATTGACCAGGGGCTAAGAAGAGACCCTATTGACCAAGGGTGAAGGGTTGGCTATCTTACTACAAATCATAGGCCTTGATAGAGATAGACCCGACCACGTTACACCTGTTTTAGTACAGGTTTTGTTGTTGACTATGTGAGTACCGTCTAGTTTCTCCACGTTGACTATGCCTGTTTTAGTACGGGTTTTGTTGTTGACTGTGTGAGTACCGTCTAGTTTCTCCACGTTGTTTATGCCTGTTTTAGTACGGGTTTTGTTGTTGACTGTGTGAGTACCGTCTAGTTTCTCCACGTTGACTATGCCTGTTTTAGTACGGGTTTTGTTGTTGACTGTGTGAGTACCGTCTAGTTTCTCCACGTTGTTTATGCCTGTTTTAGTACGGGTTTTGTTGTTGACGTACTTCCAAAAGAGCTTGCTATTTGTTTTGATGTTTTCAGTCAGCTTTTTCTCATAATTATTGTTTGATATTCTGATTCTTCTGGTTGCTGAATTTCTGGCATTCTTGTATTCTTCGTTATACTCAGTATTGCAGTGTTGCTATTTGAGCCATTTCCTTCTCTTGTGACGGATTAATTTCCTCGCTGCAAGGTCGAGATACGATTTCCAACTTGCTCTGTTTTGGGTCTCTCTTGATCACTACCCTTTTTTAGGTTACCAGTGCATTTTTGTGCAATTAGTCTTGCGTCTTCCAAAAGTTTCTTCCTTTGTTGTTTGTTGCCCATGATTAAAAGAATGATATTAGTATTTCTCCTTTGTCTGTCATTCATTTCTTTTTACCCTCTCATATATCACCTTGGATAAACCAGCTTTGACTTCGTCTGTTATTGAGTCTTTCATGGTTCCTATAGATTCTGTAAGTGAAGCTATTCCATGGTTAATCTCTAGGTTGTGGACTTTAGATTCCAGATTAGTCAATCTGTTGTCGTTTGTTTCCTTGACATCTTTTTTGGGTCTTGTTGATATTAGCCAGTGTAGGTAGTGTATTGGTACAAACCACAAAGCTCCATCTAGAACCATCCAATTCTCCATCTGTTAGAAGGTCAACAACTCCATGTTTCAATTTTGCACACGGGGCACAATAGTTTAGGTTGCATCCATCACAAGTTTGGTGTACAGGTGTACCTGTTAACAGGTTTTCAAATCTGTAACTCTTACACTTAAGCAATGAATGCTTTAGCAAATGTTGTAATGGTCCTATAACATTGCTATTGATGGCAAACTTAATAAAGCCAGGGCTTTATGTGAGTTTGTCAGCAATAGTAATGTGTGTTATATGACCATAACACTATTTGCTAAAATATGCATTACGTATATACATTTTGATAGAGTAGTTATGCTTTATTTAGTTATTTCTAGTAGTTTTTGAACAGCAAATTAAGTGTTCACAACAATGAAATTGATAACTTCACAATAGCAAATGTTATTATAGTCTCATATCAGCATTTGCCTTCTCAACGCATGCAATGGAACGATGCAGATCAAATGTAAATAAACATATTATAACCATATACAATTACTGGGCATAAATAGACGAACATAATAATGCTACTTAGATTGATACCGGGGTCCAGTCTCATCCCTCAGGGCTTAGTCTGTGAGTCATTGTATGGAAACAGTTGAGATCGCTCCTTATAATATTCACTATTCATACCAAGTAATTAAAGGACCAAGCTGATTTTGACTGCCACATATGTCCATTGCGTCTATTTAGAACTCAATATTAGCCGTATAGGCGATTGCAAGGCGTGAAGAGACGGATACAAACATGCTACCAAATTGGAATCCATGTCAAAACATGAAAACAGTTGGGATCTCCACCGCATAACGATCATATATAAATTCACCGGGCATTAAAACACACGTATCACTGCCATATTCTACCATGATTTGTCTTTGGGGTCCTGTCTGTCCCAAATGCTGACTTAGTCTCTGGGTCAAAAATGGCGGTTGAGATTTCCTTCCTTTATATATTATAAAGTTGTTTAATGGCCAGAGAGCGTGTGTTATTGGATAACCGTGAAGAGTGGATATTGGATAGGGTTACTTAAGTATTAGATAGTAAAAATGCGGGATATGAGATTGGCAATCCTCGATACTCGAGGGGTTACGCTCACTTATGCTCTCTGCAGCGCAATTGCGGGAGATAGTCAGAGTTAACGGGTGATTGTAGGGGTATTAGATAGTCGTTAAACAGGGGTATTGGTTAGCCGGATTCTTACATTTCTAGCTGCAGGCACGGAGTACAATCATAGCACATTGCTTGTACAACTACTGTATACAGGCAAATCGTTTGTAAGTTCATTACTTGTGAAATTGCTATTTACTGAAAGTATAAACTTAGTTCATAATGCAAATTAATATGAAATAGAATACCATGTATTTAGAGAGTTTAGAAAGCTATAGCGGGATGAAAACAATACAGATGTGTTAAAAATAAGGTTCTATGAACAAAGAAAAATTGTCAAGGAACACGTACAGGAATAAGACTAAGTGTTCTAGAGAGTCATCCTTTCATAAGATGATAAGGCGCTTCGAGCTACATCCCTTGCCTTATGCATTGTCGTATTACCATCTTCTATACACATTGATGGTGTGACAGTGTTAAAGATAAACCTTTTTTATTCATGAAAAGGGGATTTTTATCATGGATGATATCTGAAATGTTTTTAATAATTTGATCATTCTAAAATGCGGCGTCGAGTATTTAATCACCTTTGTACCATCTTTATAAAGGGAACGGGGATTGTGATTGCCTATATATATACATGTATTTCATTGGGATGTTAAAAGCTCATTCAATATCGACATTTTGGATATTTCGTTAGGATACCTGCCGCATATCAAATACCAGCTAAAGATACACTTGATATTAGCGCCGAGGGAATGAGAATTTGAAATGAATACACTAAGATATAAACAACAACAGCAGCAACAATGAAGAATTTTTCAAATATCTCAAATATAATGATAAAGCACTATGATAAGCCTTTGGACTAATTAAGTTTCCGGTTACTTTACTATTTTTGCCCGCCAGTCAGCTGTCTTTAACATTTTGAACTACGCATTTTAGCTGAATGGCATAATACCATGTGCTTTGTAAACATAATAGTTATATAATTATATTATGATCCTCTTCAGGGACCCGACCAGTCACCGTGAATGAGTGTTGTGGTTTTTCTTTCTTTCGTCAAATATACCATAATGGTTCAAATTAGTTTTGAACTCGCGTTTTAGTTTTAGTTTATAACTTTCAGCTGTTCAACTCTTGTTCATATAAACAGAGCAGTTAGAGAGTAACAATAAACAACACCTACACTCAAACACACCGCTCCTGGAACCGCGTCTAGATCGTGTGTAAATGGTGTCATGCTGCTTGTAAATAATACAATGAGTAACACACACATTTTTATGCTTTAAGTGTAATGTATACCTAATATCTCACTATTAAGCTTGATTCGATAGACTGACTTTTTAGGTAAGAATTGGATTCATCGCTGTCAATTATATCTTTTAAGTAGGCCCTCCTATGCATTTGCAAAGTTGTCACATACCCTTTTCATGCATACCAAGGTATTACCTACCCGCGGACGTTTATTTCCTTCGTGTTGAAATGCCCTTTTTCATATTTACTCGCCATTACTTGATATGGTAATCGAAGGAGAACAAAACTGGCCGTTATATACAGACCTGAACCTCAAAGAGTGTCCCAGACATTCCAGGGGTTACGGTCAATAACGATCTTTGCACCCCCGAGGAGGCAGAGGGTCGCGTACTGAAGATTGGTCCAAGTTTCTTCCAAAAAGTAATTACCCTTTCTGATTCATATTGTATATTTTGTTTGTTTCATTTCAAATTTTTGATACATTTTGTCACAAGAACGAATCAGAGGGGGTTATAAGTACGACATTTTGTTATAACGAGTCCAAATGGATTTTGCATGGAATGTACTTGCCTAGATAACCCTTGATGTTTACTTGTGTTCCTTTACTTGTGCCTTTTTTATTGTTAAAAAAAATGCCAAGAAAATGTTTCAACTGCCATAATTTATTTGTGATGTCATAAAATGAATTTTTGATAATTTGATGTACTCTTGACTACCACATACAGTGTGTACTTGTCTATGGATGTAAACCCCCACCTCTAAAACTATTATCATTACAAGACCTTTATGTTATAAAGTTGCCAGTTTTGTTATATGAAGTTATCAACTTGCTTTAATTCAATGCTGAAGATTCTGTATACAATTGATACTCGTACTGGAATATCGTCGAACTGAGAATATTTTTGTGAAAATCCTCAGCTTTTCACCTGGAAAAGACAACTGGTAAGTATAAAAACGCATTATATATTTTGAAGTGAGTATTAAATATCGACCTTTCATTAAAAGAAGTTTGAG